CTCTCTCGTTCTGTCCCTCTGTAGTCAAGTTTAAGTAAAGTTAAATAAAATAATTCTTTTAAAAATAAATTAAGCAATTTAATGTAGATAATGGTTTATCAAAATCCATGAGAGCCTGAGAATAAGTGAACTTTGAACTAATCATCTCACACTACTAAAAAGTGTCCTGATCACCAGGCCAACAGGCAATGGATTCCAGAAATCACGTGCGTTTATAATGTATAAAGATGCATCCCTTCCCACCAAGCCCTAGCCAATTAACTCAAGCGTTTTCTTCTACCAATCAGAACCATGAGTCACTATCAACCGGAAGTCCAGACTGTGCCCAGGCCTTCCCGTGACAACATCCTAGCAGGTTTGCTTCTGTTGAGAGTACTTACCTGTGGGTGAGCCACACTATGCCCACGGTGGTGGAATGAAAAGTTTAATACCTAAGATTTCTGAACAAATTCCCAGGAGCCCTCTCCTTTCTCTTTCACATCTCGCCTTTTGACCTGTTTGGATTGGTTCACAGCCCTCCTTCCCCTCCAGCCCTTCCTGTCCCCTCCTCAGGCCACATGTGTTCTCCTTGATGACATAGTCCTTCTCATGCCTTCATCCTTCTCATGCCTTTTCAACACCACATGGCTCTGGCCAATAATCTACTTGCTAAACAGAGATCAGGCACAAACTAGATAAAAACTAGATAAAAGTCCTCATCCCCAAAGGCAGTCCTGATGGTACCCACCAAGGGGGGGGAGGAAACTGTATCCCTTCACCCTGGAATGGCCCCTCCAAGGCTCTAACCCTCTTACCCCCTAGGCTCTCTGAGGTATCTGGTTGTTCCAGAGAATTCAGAACTCCAGTTCCCTTAGTCACTCAGTGGTTCCCAGTGGGAAGATGTTATTTCATGCACTGATTTACTCCTCTTCAACAATGTGGGGTAAAAGTTGAGTATTAACTTTTTGTCATATTTGAAAACTAGATCAGGATGATAGGGATTTTAAAAAGTCTTAAATTATTTTACCAAATGAAGGTTCCTTTTGAAATGCAAGTACTTTCTCTTCCTTTTCCCCCCCGCAGTAGGCTTTTTTGTATAATCATGTTTATTTAATTTTTTTAAAGACAGAAAACTACATGAGTCCCTCAAAAGTCTCCAGAGAATTGAATTCTCTTTTCCCTTTGACTCACCTTACAATTCTAGACATGTTTGAGCTTCACTATTTTTTTTTTTTTGGAGAGATTTTTGCTATAGGGCGCATGCGCTCGCCAGACAGAGAGAGACATAGAGACAGAAAGCGAGAAATCACCCCCCAGGGGGGATGGTCACGCCGCAATCCCTTCTCCTCCATTCTCCTCTCGGGATCTTGGGCATGCATGCACACGCGCCCTGCGTGAGTTTTAAGCCACCGGGTCCAGGACGCGAACCGTGGTCGACTACGTGGGAGTCCAGCGACATAGCCATTACGCTAACTGCTGGTTCCCTGAGCTTCACTTTTGATTTAATTGGAAGACTTCTAATAGTTGAGTTTTGTTTCTAAACACTCTTTTTGGCTTTCTTGACAAGAGTTGTAAAAGCTCAAATGTTGCAGAAGATAAGACAGTTCTGGAGATATTAAAAGGAATTAGGTGAATTTTGAATCTTATGTGTAAGGGTCTTCAGAGGCCTTTTGTCATTTTGGATTTCTTTGAGACTAGAATCTAAGCAGTTCTGTCTGTCCTTCTTGCACTATTCCCCAGAGAGTATCCAGTACAGACTGCCTATTCTGGGTCCTAGGACAGCTGTCTTCCAGGGAGTGCTGGCAGATGCCTACAAAACTCTGCAGGAGATGCAACACTCTTCCTACCCAAGAAAGGAACCAATGGACAGGACAATGAAGCAACGAGTGGTTCAGTTTCATCACCTTCCCCACCCCCAGAGAGAAGATGCCTTGCCAAGTCAGTCTTCCTAAGAGTTGTTGGTTTATTGGCTCTTGTCATTATCTTCTCACTCATTTTTCCAAGATAAAAATGGTTTAATTTACATGTTATGAAGATCATAATTAAACTTAAGCATGTTATAGCTCACTATTTAGTTAAAGCTTCTTATCCATGTCATACTCGATGACATTTCTTCTGTTTCTAAGACACGAGTTGTATCTCTTATTTCAGCTCTTCCTTCAGAGTAGGGGGCCAAAGGTGGCTCCAGAAAGTTCCTCATGAATCCAGCATATCGGAAATGAAGGAGAGAGACCAGATGGTGGCCAAGTGGTCAAATCGATGCCCTATGAAGCAATCATACAGTGGAAGGTTCCTGACTCAAGTCCAATGACCTTCCTAAGAAACCCAAGCATGTGCTTGCCCTTGATCTGGGGCTAGCTGACGTTTGGGCGTGAAGTCCCTGCATCAAGACTCTTTGGGGAATTTTCTCTCTCTCTCTCTCTCTCTTCTCACCCTCTCTCTTTCTCTGTCTTTCTGATGAAATAAATCATAAAATAAACTTTTAAAATTTATAAATAGAAAAAGGTAGATCATCCCTTGCCCATCTCCGCCAGTTAACCCGGTAGATGACAGAGGATACTGTGATGCAGTGATGAAGAGTGGCAGGTGATCAGTTGTTGCAGCCCTAGGGCACAGACAGGGTGCTGCCTTGACCCCCTCATGTCACCTCTGTTACTGCCTTGTACAGGGCGGATGTTCAACCTCTAGTTGCTCAGTCAGATCCCTACCAATTGCTTCTATTTTAGTTTGGTTGTTTTGGTTTGTGGATATATGCCTCTGGATCTATCCTGGTCCATGTTCTGCAGTGTGAGAGGCAAAATTGTAGGTTCACAAACACTATATTTATGTGCACATGTGTCCTGTGCCCAGCTTTAGGAGGGTTCATATTAAAAAGGCCCTTGTGTTCTTTGGGAGGCAATGGCATTGTGGAATCTCAGCATCCTGGACCAATGTGTGAGAACCAACCCCTGAACTAACTATATTTGAAGAATGGACTTCAGAAATCTCAAACAAATGGGCTGGTGCCCAGTTGACCATGTCTGCACACACACACACACACACACACACACACACACGCACACATCACAAGACCAAACTAGATCAAGAAACAAGGAACAACTTACTGGTTTCCCCTATATTCCTGGTAGGCTATGGTTCTTGGTTTCAGAATTCCCAAAAAAAATAGTGTGAACTTTGTCTCAGAGTGAACACTGTGTATACATTCTGACCCCATATCAGATCACTGTCTAAGTACAGACACATCACACATAACAATGTTTCATTCTTTTGTTTCTTGTTTGCTTTTCAAATTATCTAGTGAAAAGATTCCATGTACCTATACCCTTGGATTAGGCAGGAATACATGCCCTGTGCACAATTATTTGAACCTTTTAAAGTAATCTGAATATTATGTAGCTAGTAAGATAGAATGCTTCCTAAGTCTCTTTAAGATGACTTTACCTAGGGACCAGCAGATGGCATAATGGTTACATTGCTGGACTCCCATGTAGTCGACCACAGTTCAAGTCCTGGACCCAGAGGCTTAAAATTACACTGTGTGTGTGCGTGTGTGTGTGTGTGTGTGTGTGTGTGTGTGTGTGTGTGTGTGTGTGTGTGTGTATGTGCTTGTGTGTGCCCAAAATCCTCAGAGGAGAATGGAGAGAAGAGATTGTGGCATGGTATCCCCCACAGGGGATGTGCCATATAACAAAAATCTCTCAAAAAATAAGAGATGGTATCATCTAGAGAACTAGGGTGTTTCAATTTTTTGTTTAAACAAAAAATAATAAAATCTGAATGTTTGTTAGTACAATGACAGAGAACACTGTACCACTGGGGAGTTGCTTTTCCCTCTCTCACTTTCTATCTCTCTGGCAAGCAATGTGCCCTCCTTCTGGCAATTAAAAAAAATGTTTTTAAGGACCAGCAGTTAGCGTAATGGCTACGTCGCTGAACTCCCATGTAGCTGACCGTAATTCGAGTCCCAGAGCCGGTGGCTTAAACTCACGCCAGGCGCGTATGTGTGCCCAAGATCCCGGCACAGGAGAAGGGATTGCGGTGTGGCCATACCCCCTGGGGGGTGATTTCTTGCTTTCTCTCTGTCTGTCTTTCTGGTGAGTGCAAGTGCCCTATAGCAAAAAAGTCTCTTCAAAAAAATAAATGTTTTTTAACACAAGACATGTCATATCCAGTCCTCAGTTTAACCTTGGGAAGTGTCTTATTTGGGCGTAGTTACTCAAGTTGAGGGAGGTCTTTGGGAAGAAAGGAGCATTACCTAACAATACAGAAGATTTCCAAGAAGAGAAGAAAGAAGCGTGGGCATTGTTTCTATAGATCAGCCTGTAACCAAAATCCTGAAGAACCAAATTAGGAAATTCAGAAATAAATAAAACATAACCCCTAGAGAAAAGTGTGATAATCGATCTTACGTAAACAACGCTCTGCTCAAATCACCTTAATTTAGTACTTTATTAAATACTGTTCCTGTCTCACATGTGCAATTCTTGATTCTCTAGAAAAACATGTAACTTAATGAGAACAATCCCATGCTGACACCACATCTCTGTGCAAGCTACCCAGAATGTACATGAGAGACATTTAGAATGAAGGAAAATCCAATTCTAGGCTTCTCAGGCAATATGAAAAAAACATGGACTGGGGCCAGCAGTTAGCATAATGGCTATTTTGCTGGACTCCTTATGTAGTTGACTGCAGTTCGAGTCCCGGGCCCAGTGGCTTAAACTCACATCGGGTGTACGTGCGTGCATGCCCAAGATCACAAGAGGAGAATAGAGGAGAAGGGATTGCAGCGTGGCTGTCCCCCTGGGGGGTAATTTCTCGCTCTCTGTCTCTCTGTCTCTCTCTGTGTCTTTCTGGCGAGCACACGCGCCCTATAGCAAAAACCTCTCCAAAAAAAAAAGGACTGAGATCTCTGAATTTGGGCTTGTGAGGCTGGGCACACACACACACACACACACACACACACACACACACACAAAGAGCACATGCACTAGCCAGCCCGGAAATAGGCTTGAGTTACAAACCGAACACCAGCGATTACAGCAATAACGTTCTCCGTATCACCAACCGTCCAGCACTCTGGACAGGAACAGAGAGGCAATTGTGCGACCTTGTCAAGAAAGTTGGTCAGAGAGGAAATAGCCACATTCACCCACACAGGATGTTCTGTCTTGGTCTCTGTCAAGTCTGTGGCAAGACACTGAACTGCCTGGCCAGTAAACGGCAGAAGAGTGAAATTAGGCACCATAGAAGCCTGCTGCTTTAAGGGAAATTTGTTCCTAAACCTCTTGGGATTGTCCTTAACTCCGGCCCATGCAGCAGGCATCAAACTGTGGGGATGCCTCGTGGTCAGAGTCAGAAAACCTCTCCTTTCTAGATCCTCGCATTGAGGAAAATGCAGAAAGGGAAAACTGTACATAGAAACAAAGAAGTATTGATAGTACTGGGCTCTGAGGCGTAGAACTGACTAGCTGGAGGAAAGAAATTGGCGGAGAAAGGATTTTTCAGAGTATTTCTTGTTTGCCCTCTGAGTTTTGAGCCACATGAGTGTTTCATGCACTCAAAAACAAAACCAAATGAAACAACCACCACAACAACAAAAAACTTTTTAAAATTACCAAAGGGCTAATGTGGCTTTGGAATTAGAAATCTAATAAACTATCAACATTAATTGTTTTCCTGACATTCAGACCACATGGTCCTTGAGCAAGGTTCAGGAAAAAGTCTAGCTCAAAGAATAAAATCCATCTCTGGCCCTGGTTGTTTTGTCAAAGATATGGTAGCATGGGCAGGTAGCAAGTGTTTCCTGTTTATGTAGCAATTGTAATCTTTCCAACAGCTTCATTTGTTTTTCCTCTCTCTTTGCATCAAATTTACCCTTGCTCTCATTGCTATCATATAGCAAGAGCACCACTGTTTCTCAAGACACTATGTTTTTAACAAATGCAGCCCTTCCCCCAGGCACTTCAATAGACATTCTTCATTTTATTGAAACCAGTACCCCTGGTTATTTTTTTTATGGAGCTGCCTGCCCAAAACTCTTGATATTTGATGGCATGGCCCATGTTCCCCTTAGTAGTTTTTTGGTTTGGTTTCATTTGGTTTTAGACAGGCTCTCACTGTGCCACAATCCTCTTGCCTCGGTCAACCAGGTAACTAGAATTACAGGTATGCACTCCAGCACCCACATGTAGAGTGGGCCAAGAATCAAACCTGGGCTTCCTATATAGCCTCAGACTGCCCAGCAGTAGCTTCGATCAGTGCACATTATGGCAGCTGGGATTTAAAACACACAAACAAACAAAAACAAACTTAAGAGGCCCAGGCTCTTTGGATAGTATAACATGGTATCAGTCATCCTCTCTGGACCCACTCCGGTGCCATTTAAAATACAGGACCTGGGAACCAGCAGTTAGCGTAATGGCTATGTCGCTAGACTCCCACGTACTCGACCGCGGTTTGTGTCCTGGACCCGGTGGCTAAAACTCACACCGGGCACGTGTGCGTGCGTGCCCAAGATCCCGAGAGGAGAATGGAGGAGAAGGGATTGTGGCGTGACCATCCCGCCTGGGGGGTGATTTCTCGCTTTCTGTCTCTATGTTTCTCTCTGTCTGTCTGGCGAGCACATGTGCCCTATGGCGAAAACCTCTCTAAAAAATAAAAAAATAAAAAAATACAGGACCTGGGGCCAGCAGATTGGAGTAGCAGTTATGTTGCTGGACTCCCACATGGTCGACTGTAGTTAAAGTCCTGAACATGGCAGCTTCAAACCCATGCCAGGTGGTGTGCCCAAGATGCCAAGAGGAGAATGGAGGAGAAAGGATTGCAGGGTGGTCATCCCCCTTGGGAGATTTCTCACTTTCTGTCTGTCTCTCCAGCGATTGCATGCACTCTATAGCAAAAACCTCTCTCAAAAAATAAATAAGATGCAGCACTTGGCGTATAATCTAGAGCTTCAGATGTGACCTGGCCAGATGTTAGGACTGACAGTGGACTCAACCTCTCTTGTTCTGGAGTAAGGGTCTGCCCTAAGTACAGGCTACAATGTTCATTTTC